CCAAGTCTGTGAAGAATTGTGCTGGGATTTTGATGGGGATTGCATTGAATCTGTAGATTGCTTTTGGTAAGATTGCCATTTTTACTATGTTAATCCTACCTATCCATGAGCATGGGAGATCCCTCTGTGTAGTTTTGGTGCCTGTCCTGGATCTCACTCTGTAGCCCAGGTTGGCCTCGAACTCACAGAGATCCACCTGGCTCTGCCTCCCGAGTGCTGGGATTAAAGGTATGCGCCGCCACCCGGCCTACAGATGGAGTTCTTTGGAGACGCTCAAAGCCTCCTTAACCTCTTCGCTCCTCTTTCTATCCCCCTCCACAGAACAGCCCCTGATGGGCCAAATGGCTTTCTTACCTAGACTGTGTCTAGGTCACAATCCCACAATATGGCAATGTTGATTGTTGGGGCTTTACTACAAGCCAGGGCCTTTTACATCTAGGGTCTCACCAAGTAAGGAACAGAGTAGTGGGGGGTGGGGGTGACAAGGCTGGGATTGGACCCCATTCTCTCCATCCTTCCTGTGCTCTGTGGCTCCAGAGGAAGAAGCCTGCGTTCAGAGCCCTGATTCAGCAGGCTTTGTTTCTTCTCTTACCATCTGTAGATCAGCAGACTAGAAGGTGAAACTGTCTTGGGCCTTGGGAATTCTTATCTAATTGTGTCATTTCATGCTGTCTTCTTAGCTTAGGGACTAAGAGTGAAGGGTGTAATTAGAGGTCAGGGGGCAGTTGGGAGGCAGGTGGCAGAGAGGGCTGGGGTGTTCAGACGTGGAGTGGGGAGTCATGTTTTCATTCTGCTGGAAGACCCAGGACATGGTGTGAGGGAGCTAAGAGAGCAGACTGCTCTGGGGATGGGTAGTGGGCTGAGCCATGAGGACCGGGCTTGCTGGAGCCGCGTAGATGCCCCGAAGCCACAGCCCTCCACTGTGTCCAGGATGGATGATGGTCTCAGTAACCACGCTCAGCTCCTGGAACCCCAGGGCTCCCAGCAGAGGGTAGGGCCATTCATAGTTTGGTGTGTGGAATCCCCTGTCCCCAGAGTTCACCACTCCAAGGTTGCTGCTCAGTGTAAGACAGAACACACTCAATGAAGGCCTCAGGTGCTCAGTGACATTTTATTGAAGCAGTTCTAGGAAACAGGCATGCAGAAGGGGAGCGGGCAGCTCGGGAGGTCTGGCTGCTACTTCAAAGCTGTTAACTTCCTTTACGCACAGCAGAGCAGTGGACAGTCTAATTGCCTTGGGGAAATATTTTGGTTTTGAATTCATAGCAGATAGTTGAGGGCTCACAACTCTTCAGATGAAACCACTGTGAAGACCAGTTTCCAAAACCCTCCGTGAAGCTCCTTTTCCTATTCCCTCACACTTCCCTCTGCTACCTGTGTCCCTGTGCCCCGGAGCAAGAGAAAGCAGCAGAGATCTACCTTTCTCCTCCAGCTCCCTGTCTGGCTCTGCCCCGAGTGCTTAGAGAGCCAGGTCGAGGGTTGGATGATCCTCACAGCTCAGTCACCTCAGAGCCTGGGAAGCACACAGAGAAAGGTGACTCTGGGCCACCGGAGTTAAGTTTAAAGTCCCATGGAGAACTGAGTAAGAAGAATCTCTTGTGATTGTAGAGCCCAAGCAGGTTGAGGAGGAATTCCCGCAACCCCTACTGCTTAGGGGCAAAGGCCGAGCCTAGAGTCAGTGTGGGTAAGGGAGGACTTGGAGATGAGAATGGGTGGGGCTTCTCTGTGGAGGCCTGCCTGGAAGCAGAGGATGGACAAGGTAACCTTAAAACTCATAGGCCACTTGGTGTCAGTGTCTCTTGCTGGGGATGGTGAGCATGGGCAAAGCATCAGGCCTTAGTGCTGGGGAGCTGGGGGCCCGGGGACGGTGCAAAGGCGGGTAGCACCTTAGCTCCTGTAACTCTTCTTGCTGGACGACGTCTTGGAGACAATGCGCATGCTTGAGCTGCTGCCACTCACACTGCGACCGCTGGTGGAGCTGAAACCGCCACTCCCTCCGCCACCGTAGCAGAGGCCACTGCCACTGTAGCCGCCGCCGCCACCGCTGTAACTGCCGCCACTCATGCAGAGGCCGCCACCTCCACTGTAGCCTGAGCCCCCCGAGGAAGAGACCACAGCTGCAGAGAGAAGGTACGGGACACACTGTCAGTGGTCAGTCGTCCCCCCCCACACTCATCTCCTGGCAGCTCTCTCCCCCAGGACGCTCAGATGACAGACAGCTCCCATAGCTATGATGGTACTGGTCCCTCAAAGGGACGTCATCATGGCAGTGACCTCCAGGGTAGAGATGAGCTGAGGCAGCATGCATAAAGTCACCCCTGCCCGAGACCAGGTCTTAGGCCCCTAGGCTGCACTGTGCCTTCCTCTATCGGGGCTCTCACACTAGATGGGACACCAGGCCTCAAATCTGGGAAGGGGGTTTTGGACTCCCATATCAGGACAGATTCCAAGGTCACCTAGATGAGTCTCCCTGCCAAGTATTGGAATCTCCTCAGCTTCACGATACTAGAACTATTAGTGTCTGCCCCAATACTTTGGCAACAGTGAACTCAGTCCCATGAGGGAACAGTTCCCAGCCTGTCAAATACTTGAAGCTGTGGCCAGCCATCCCTCTGAGTCTGCTCTTCCTGCGAGGCTTCTGAATTTTTCTCTAGTGGCCACAGGCTCTGGCTTTCCCTGATGTTCTCTGACCTAGCCGAGGCCCAGGGGCTCTCATCTCCATGACCAGGACTCAGTGTTGCCACATCGCCCCCTGAGAAACCAAGAGATCACCCCTTCCGGTTTCCTGGATGTCCAGGCAAAGTTGAGATGTCTGTTTCACTTGCCCAGCCAATTTGCTTCAAATCTACGTAGAGGTCTTTAAGCTGCTCCATAGTTCTGCCAGAGTAACCGAGGGCCGGGGACCCTGGATGCATGAATAATCTTGTCCTATGCAGGATCCTCTGGGGCTAGGTTGGACATGTGACCACATTGCAACCAAGGTGTAAAGGGTCCCCTGCAGCATTTGAGGACACTTTCCCAGAATGAGAAAAAGTCCCTGGACTCCTTCCCCAGGAACAGGGAATGCTCAGCACTCTTAACATCACCAATGGGAAAAGAAACCAAAAACAAACAAACAAACAAACAACCCAAAACCCAAAAAACAAAACAAACAAACAAAAACCCCCAAGAAGGAGGAGAAGGGTTGATGGTATATTTCCTCAGTTGATCATTTTCAATCTCAGTGATGCTGGGGGCTCCCTTGTTGCCTCCCCTCCCCCATCACTCTTCTATCTTCCCGAGTCCTTTACTCACAGATGTTCACGGCGCCAACACCTTCTCCGGTGAGCCTGTGGCAGGTGGGAAGAGAAGGTACATCACTGATGAGGACATAGAGAGCTCCCAGTCCCCTGCATGTGAGGCCATCAGGGCTGAGCACACGCTGTGAGCCTGCCCTGTGTTTAACAAGCTTGGCATCCACCTCATGAGCTCCAGAAGCTAACAAAAATACAGGAGGGGAACCCTAGGGGGAATCAGGTTAAGACACGGATAGAAACAGGAAGTGAGACCCCATGCCAATGAGGCAGAATGGAGTGACATCTGGGGCATGTACTGTCCCTGCGTCGGTACCAAGGGCGCTTGTATGTGTTATAAGGCTCAAGTCACACTGTTCCTGCCTAGGGCCTCCCAGGAGTTTGTAGCCACCTTTGCCTCACAGCTTTGACCCTGGACCAGGCCCAGAAACAGCTGCAGGAGGGAACCTCTGAAGGAACAGCGAATGCCACCTGCATCCGACCTTGGCCTTTTTGTGTAGGGTCACGGTGGTAAGTGGCCCCCGTGGCCTCTGTACCACACTACCCTGTTCTGGTGGCATCTGTTTGGGCCATGGTGTCTGCCCACCTGCACTCCTCCCCCTCCAGCAGCTTGCGGTAGGTGGCGATCTCGATGTCCAGGGCCAGCTTGACGTTCATGAGCTCCTGGTACTCGCGCAGCTGCCGGGCCATGTCCTGCTTGGCCTTCTGCAGGGCCTCCTCCAGCTCTGCCAGCTTGTGCTTGGCGTCTTTGAGAGCCAACTCCCCACGCTGCTCAGCATCAGCGATGGAAGCCTGGAGTGTGGCACACTGCCCACAGGAGAAAGGAGGAGCTGGTGACGCTGTGCACAGAGCACATGCGGGGGGGGGGGGGGGGTTAGAGTAACTTCCCCGAAGTATGTTAATAATGCAACGGAAGGCAGAACACTGTGTTTGAGGATAACACTGAGAACTGTTTGTTCTCAGTCCCCAAGGGTGATGTAGAGTTTTCTGGATAAGAAAATGGCGTTCTGAGGTCTTTCTCTGAGTAGTGGGTAAGTACATAAAGCAAGACAAGCTTGACCATGTTGTGGTTCCAGTAGAGAGGACCTGTCCACCCCAGTCAAGTACAGCTCCATTCCTTATCTGAGAGATTCCCATCTGCACCAGCTGAGTTAAGTCCAAGTGCTGGATAGTTTTATGTCAGCTTAACACAAGCTAGAGTCATCTGAAAGGAGGGAACCACAATTGGGAGAATGCCTCCATAAGATCTGGCTATAACACATTTTCTTAATTAGTGATTGATGGGGGAGGGCCCAGTCCACTGTGGGTAGTGGTCCTGGGTTTTGTAAGAAAGCAGGCTGAGCAAGCCATGAGGAGCAAGCCAGCAAGCAGCACCCCTCCATGGCCTCTGCCTCAGCTCCTGCCTCCAGGTTCCTGCCCTGTTTGAGTTCCTTTCATGATGAGCTATGATGTGGAAGCATAAGCCAAATTAACCCCCTTCTTCCTAAGGTGCTTTGGTCATGGTGTTTCATCACAGCAATAGAAACCCTAACTAGGTCAGCCCAGATCCAAGTCTTCCCAGATGCAGGGGTTTGGATGGGATGGCCTCTGAGATATCAGTCCTACCTGCTTCTTCAGGTTATCGATCTCAGAACGCAGCCTCTGCATGGCCCTGTTCAGCTCAGAGATCTCCATCTTGGTGGTACGGAGGTCATCCCCATGCTGGCCGGCAGACCGCTGCAGCTCCTCATACTGGGAGGAAGGAGAGGCTTTGGGTGAGGGATAGTCAGGCCCAAGGAGAGAGGGTTGTAGCTTCCCAGAGCCCTCCAGGCTCTCAGTGCACTGCTCAGAGGGTCCCGGATTGTCTCACCCATTGAGTCTGTGGGCATCATTTCTTGCTCTCCCTATCCATACACCTCAGCAACAGCCAGACAGCTGTGGCCATGCTATTCCCACCCCTCCCCTCCCCCCTTTTATTTTGCTCCTGGCATCTCTTCTCTTTCCCTCCACTCCATGTATCTGGCTCTCTCTCTGTCTCTCTGTCTCTCTGTCTCTCTGTCTCTCTCTCTTTCTCTCTCTCTCTCTCTCTCTCTCTCTCTCTCTCTCTCTCTCTCTCTCTCTCTCTCGCACAGGGATACTTTTTGATAGATACTTCATGTACATTTGCCATGACACCAGAGTGTACTGTCTTCCTGACTCCCAGCTCAGAGTGTCTGCTCCAACTTCGGAAACGTCGTTCTGTGATTTGTATCAAGTCTGTCCCCAAGCCTTGGCCCCAATCAGCTCCAGCTTTCCCTTTTGCATCCTCTAGCCTCATCTAGAAGGCACCAGACTTTCCTCTTGACACATCCCCCCATTGGCATGGTGGCTGTAACTGACCACTGATGCCCGTTTCTCTGATATGAAGCCTTGGAATTTCAGCCTGTGTCTGACATTCCCCTTGCTCCTGATGGTGTCGACCCTGGGTCATGCTCAGAATACATGTAACATGCAGGCTCTCAGTTGAACTTAGACACTTTGGACCCCACCAGGCTGGGGCACTGGAGAGGATAGGCTTGTATCTTATTTGCTCATGAAGTTTTCAATCCCGGTGTCTGTTTAATTGGTTGGATCTTGGCGTCTCACCTTGGTCTGGTACCAGGATTCAGCCTCTGCCCGGCTGCGGTTGGCAATGTCCTCGTACTGGGCCTTGACCTCGGCAATGATGCTGTTTAGGTCCAGGCTGCGGTTGTTGTCCATGGACAGGACCACAGAGGTCTCAGAGATCTGAGCCTGAAGCTGAGCCAGCTCCTGTGATTGAGAGCAAAGAGGAGAGATGAGCCAGGGCGTGTATGTATGTGCGTATGTATGTGCACATGTGTGCAGATGTGTATATGAGTGCATACATGTGCTTTGGGGATGGCAACCCCCTGGGGCAGGTTCTGTCATGGAGGGCCTTGCACTGTGAAGTGCAGCTCCTCTTTCAGCTCTGATGGGCTGAGAAGGATGTTTGGGAGGCCGCCAAGCTTACAATTGCTTTCAGCATTAGCACACGTGTACCTGAGCACAGATCAGGTAACTCCAGATAGAATTCTCCAGAAGCCACTCCCGTTGTCAAGGGAGCCTGCTGGCTGTCAGAGCGTGATGTCTCACTCTCCGAAGAAGCCCAGCCCTTCACACCTAACAGATACCTCACCTTGGGCGAGAAGCCTGAGTCAGAAGGGACCAGGCACCGCTGTTCCCGACAGTCCTGTGCTATGCTCCTTAGGGATGGGGCATGAAGATTAGCTAGAAACAGCAGAAGGAGCCCCCCAGAGAAAAGTCCAAGCACCAAGGGTCTTGATTATGTCTGTGTGGCTGTCCCTGCAAGCCACAGAAGAGTGCCCTGGTGCTCCACAAAGCATGTCTTCAGGAGGGGAGGCAATTGTCACACCTGGACAGAAAGCAGCTGGAGGCTGGGTGGCTCCTGCTGATTAGTCTAATTGCACAGTTTGGCGTTCCCCGGGAAGAACAGGAGCGGGACTGAGCTGGGCCTGGGAGTGAGCCATAGGGCTCGGACAGTTCTGCGGGAATCCCCTGAATTTGGTGACAAACAGATAATCTGTCTGCTCAACAGAACACGTTTATTCTAATTATCCTAATTAGCCACAGTTGAGTTTTTTCATCTTTGGAAACTCCTCGTTACCCCCCAGGAACCTCATTTTCCCTCTCAGAGAGCAGGGTCTGCCCCGTGAATCACAATCCACAGATGGGATGAGGAGCAGAGAGGAAGGAGGCCGGCAAAGAGACGACAGCTTGTGGGCCGGGGTGGGGGTGGGGGTGTCCCAGCCTCCAGCCTTCACACAGGGCACCAGGGGCTCTCACCGCCTCATAGAAAGCTCTCAGGAAGCTGATCTCGTCCATCAGGGCGTCCACCTTGGCCTCTAGCTCCACTTTATTCATGTAGGCAGCATCCACATCCTGGGCACAGAACATGAGATCATTCTGGGTCCTACCCTCCCTGGGTCAGCTAGCAGCCTCCGGAGATTATCCCTGGAGCTAGTGGGGCAGCTGCAGCTCCCCAGGGAGCACAGGTTGTGGCTGCATGCTGTCCAGTGGAACTGGGGAGAAGGGGAGGGCCCCATAGTATGACTTCAGGAGGGCCTGTCTGTGCTGCTCATCAGATAGTGCTGCATGCAAGGGTCTCATGTCACCTTCCATGGTGAGGACACCGCATCCTGGGTCACAGGGCTCCCATTGCCTATGAGCTCTTTAAGCCTCTCCCCAAAGACTCTATGGACTCCCATCCTCACACCTTTGTCCATCTGCTTCCCTTCCCTTCTCCTCCAAGCTGCTACTCTATTTTTTTTCATTCAGTTTAATCCTTGGTGGTTTGTTTTTTTTTTTTTTTCTTCCCTCTCTGCCAGTCTCACAGCAAACAGACCTTTAGACTTCCATTGCCTGATCCTCCTACTGCCCTGCCCAAAGACTGGCTCTGGATTCTGGGTTCTGAGCCGAGGACCAGGCCCTTTTGGTTCCCCCTTAGCCTACATTGCACCGTGCAAGGAGAGGGGCTGGCGCCATGGCTCACACAGCTTGGAGTCGGGAGTCCTGGACCCTGACCTGCCTCTACCACCTCTGTACAACAGACTGAACATCCTGGACCTCAGTGTCTGCGTGTTTAAAGTCAAATATGCCCCGAGAAGCCCGGGGGGCTTGAGTGAAAGGCTCTGCCTCCCCCAGGAACCTGCAGTCAGTGAAAGTGCCCTTGCCACTTACTTTTTTGAGTACTACGAACTCATTCTCTGCCGCTGTGCGCCTGTGGATTTCCTCTTCGTACCTGCGGAAAGGGAGAGAAGGGTGTGTGTCTGGAGGAGGGCTTGAGAGTGAGGTTGGCGTGGCTCTATCTGGCCCAGTTCTTCAAGGCCTCCAGCACAGCCCGCATATCCTTCAGCTCAAGGTTATGGCAGGTGGGCACACTTGGAAAACATTCTGTTGTAGTGTGGCTCCCTCATGCCTACGTAGCTCCAAACCCCAAATAAAATACCCCCACTTCTGCTGAAAGAAAACTCGAACTGAAAAATGGCAGAGTAGAATCATCGTTCTTCCTGTAATGTACTTTCCACACAGCCTGGAGCGCTAAAGAGGTGTGCCCCTCCTCCAGCCCCTCCTCCTCTTTCTTCTTCTCCTTTACTGGCAGCCCCTGGGTCTAGCCTGGCTCCTGCCACCCTATGCCATTGCCATGTCCCTTGATGCCTCAGCCACACTGAACCCTATCTTGAGTCTTCAGGCTATAAGACCACCCACCCCCAGCGTCCTCCTTCTTCCATTTGGCTGTTCTTCCCCTGGCACCCACGGCATGCTACAGCTCTCCCTGCCCAGCATCCTTTGAGAAGGGAGCTTCCCTCCATTGTGGTGGTCCACTCCCTCCCCAGGCTGCCTCAGCATCGGGATTTCCCACACCCCCTGCAGAAGCCAGCTGGGATCCAGGGAGTTACGAGTTGTGGTTGGGAAACCACATGTGGTCCCAGGAGAACCTTTTTCTTCTCTCTATTCCTCCAGCCTTCTAGGCAGGGCTTGGGGAGAAAACACAAACCCTATAAATGAACACTTAGTTGAATAAATGGGAGGGGTGGGGTCTCCGGCTTCAACTCTTAACTCTTGAGTTGCCCTTTGTGTAAACTTGGGTAGGGGATCGACCATGTCAGAGCCTGTATTTGCCATCTGCAGAGATTAACAGTTGTTACATAGGGGCAAGTCTTTGGACCCATGGGATCATTACCTCGTTAACTCCAGCCCTTCCTTCCTTGAATCCTAACCAATGACTTTCATGTCTGTTTGATTCTATCTCATGCCCCAAGTGTGTCCCCCATCCCATTCCTCTGAGATGGGGCAGTCTTGGAGAACAGCGCATGCTCCTTCTTTTGCCTGACTCTCCGCAGACCCCCAGGGCAGGGTCAGATACACTGAGTGCCCGCTCACTTGTTCTTGAAGTCCTCCACCACGTCCTGCATACTCTTCAGCTCTGTTTCCAGCCTGCCCCGCTCTCCTCCCAGACACTCCAGCTGGCGCCTCAGGTTGGTGATGTAGGCTTCAAACATGGGCTCTAGGTTGGTCCTGGTTGTTTTGTGGTCTTGCAGGAGGCTCCATTTGGTCTCTAGGACTTTGTTCTGCTGCTCCAGGAACCGCACCTGTCCCGGCCAAAGGTAAGAGACTGTGAGGGCTTCCTACTTCAGCCTCTCACGTGGTCTGTGATGTAGGACCCCCTAATAGTGCAAGGACCCCACATGACCTCAAAACCCAGGTGGCGGCTTCCCTTTCTCCCCCTGAGCTGCAAGGAGCCTGGATGCAGAGAGCCACATCAATGTTGGTGCAGTGCCCTTGGGAGCTAAGTCCAAAGAGGCTGGAGCCATCTGAATATACCAACCATGCTGACATGCAGTAACTTAGGAAAAGAACACTATGGCTAACTGAGCCCAAACTGATTCCTATTACATGGGTAGGAGGTTGTGGCAGAAAATTCTGTCTTTTTCCTTTCTGGGAAGGCTTCTCAGGATCTGGAACTTGGACTCAGCTGCCTGTGCACTTTATAAATGTTAGTGTGGGTCAGTCTGGAACCACACTACGAGAACCAGGAACCCGGGCACGATCCCAGCCATGCCTCTCACTAGTCATGTGGCCTTGAGCAACACCTCCTTGGGTTGCTTGTTGAGTCCCCTGCAGTCTTGAACTGCCATTTGGGTTTCTGGACTTAGCTGCATCTGATCCTGATTCTGAGAATTTTGAGGGACTTTCCCTCAATCAGAAGTCCTTCCACTGGGAGGGACTGGGATGCCACTTACTCTCCAAAAATGAAAGAATACCACCTCTATGACTTCAGAGGTGGCAGTGTCCCCACAGAGGTCTTTAACAAGTGTGTCTTTCCCTTCTCTCTCGCTGTGGGAGAGAGCATACCCTGGCACCCCAGTCCTTCCCAATCCCACTCACTATCTCCCCCCCCCCTCCCCGCCACAAACCAGGAAAAGGCAAGGGCCCAGGATCTCCCCCTTCTCAGTCAGGCTTCTGGAAGTCACACCTCTGTTGGCATGACCCAGGCAAGGTGTCCCCAGACACAGGTGACAAAGCTTAAGAATTGGTGTCCCAGCAGCGTCTTTGGTTGGGTCTGCCCACCCAATGATCCGCTCCCCACGAGGAGGTGTTCGTAATACAACAAAGCCACAAAGGGACCTGAGAGTCTATCTGTTCCACCCCACTGGGGCCTGAGAGGAGTGGGAAACTCTCCCCTCAGTAGAGTCCAGAACTGGGGCCTGAGCTGGACATCGTCTCTGGACTCCACGAACTTCTTCATCCCAGAGATAGAGCCTGAGTGGTCCAGGGCGTGGGCACACTCTCTCCCAGCTGAGGCGTGAGATGGTGCATAATAGCATCATGTCCCAAGAGGCTCTCTCCCAGAACTGGGGACCTCTAGGATCCCAAGTCACACAGCGGTTAGGACGCAGGCTGAAGTCACACAAGTCATCTCCATACCCTTTCACTGCCCACTCAGCTTCCCGGACATATGCTATCACCAAGATGTATCAACAGAGAAATACTTCTGCCTTGGGAGGAAACTAGCGTTAATTAACTGGGAGAGAGAAAGGGACCCTTCCCTCCAAACTATCTAGCTGACCCATGATCACTGACCACCAGAATAGTAATGTATTCATTGTGGGTCTGAGAGCTCTAAGGCTGGGTGGAGATGAGTTCTTTTCTGCTCCCGCCCCATCGGCAGACTGCCGAGGCCCCAGATGCATGGGTCCCGGGAAGCCCCAGGTGACCTCAGGAAAACCCAGACAGTGAAGATTTCAGACGACAGCTGCTTTAGTAGTGGAGACCCCACCTGACCCTCACCTTGTCAATGAAGGAGGCGAACTTGTTGTTGAGGGTCTTGATCTGCTCCTTCTCCTCCTTTCGAACCCGCTGGAGAGACGGATCAATCTCCAGGTGCAGGGGGGTGAGGAGACTCTGGTTGACGGTGACTTCATGGATGCCTCCAGCTCCAGGGGCCATCCCGCCTCCAAATCCATACCCGCCATAGGCTCCCCCAACTCTGTACCCTATGCCGCTGACACCCAGACCGCAGGCAGCACCCCCAAAGCTGGCCCGGCTGGAGCGGTAGCCCCCACCGATGGAGATTCTTTTGTTACCCCCAAAACTGTGCAGGCTTCTTGTCCCAAAACCACCCCCAAAGCCGCCTCCAAAACTCTTTCCACTCTGGGACACGGAGACAGAGCTGAAACCAGGCCGGCAGCCAGAGAGCAGGCTGGCTGAGGAGGCGCTGAAGTTCCGTGTGCCCCCGGACTTGATGGTCACAGAGGATCGCTGGGTCATGGTGGAAGTTGGTGTCCAAGGGCAGCAAAGCAAAGGCGAGAGCGAATAGCCTTTAGGTTCTGGCTCGCCTGGACTCACCTTGGGTTTTATCCCTTTCAAGAACTGGGCTTGGCCAGAGCAGATCAAAGACCACTCTGTTGCGTTCACCTCCATGGCATGTCTGGCCACAGCCCGTCTTCCTGCCCACTAATCACCATGGGGAACACCCTACCCTGGGCAGGACCAGGCCTGGGGAGTCCAGCCTGAGGCAAACCTGGGTCCAGAGCTCCTCACCTGCCTAGGTTCCCAGTCGCACACTCTGGACACCCCTCCCTACCCCCTACTCACTTCCATCTGTAGCTCTCTCCTCCACACCCAGCTCCCAGACCCTGGACCCGAACATCTGACTGTGCCCACTCCCTCTTCATCACTTACACATATATTAAACAACAACGAAAATCATTTACTGAGTGTTGAGCCTGTACTGTACTATGTGGCAGATCTACCGTAAACATGATTACATTTCATGTGTAGAACTGTGTGGAAATGGATGAGAAATCGTTGCCCACGTTTTTTTGAGCAGTATCACAGGAGCTGAACTCCACCTGTTCACCTTTCAACACTGGTTGTTTTTGCCCTTGGTTTCTACCTGCTGTCATTGGCACACAGGCCACACAGCTAGGGAATGCTGGGACGGTACTAGAACCCATGGCTGGCTGGGCTCCAGGTCCAGAATCCCTGCACTTCTCATAGGTGGGGAAACTGGGGTGTCTTGTCCTTCCTAAGAAGCGGTTGGAGGTCACCCCAAATCCCTGCCCCCTTCTGCTGTTCCCCCTGGTCTTAGCTAGTGAATCTAACAATTGTTCTCAGAATCTGTTCTCTCTGACCATTCATGATGTCTGTCCCTCATTTCACATCCCTCTCTCCTGACTCATACATCATTGAACTTCTTCTCTAGCGCGAACGGTTTCCACAGCTCTGGTCCGCAGCTCCTATCAGTTCTGCGATGAATCCTGAGGGTCGAGTCCACCCTGTCTACACAAACCTGAGCCCCGCTCATATTAATCCCATCAGGCCCCGCAGTCCTGAGAGGAGGGGTCCGGGGGACTGTAAACTCAGGAATGTGCAGCCCTTCCTGGGTGTCTCCCCGCTGCCTGCAATTACAGGCTCCTTGCTTGGCTCCTTGGCCTGGCCTCGGGGCTGACTTTTAACTCCTCTCCTGCTCTGTCATTTCTCTGCTCAGGGCTGCATGTTTGAAGTTGCCGGGGGAACAATCAGCTCCTTTGCTGGCCAGTCCTGGACCACCCATCCTACGTCAGTGTTGTCCCAGGAACACAGGCTGATGTGGGGAGGGGATGGCCTCGCCCTGCATGGCATGCTGAGCAGGAGGCTGGCCAGGGCTTCTGCCCAGGGCTTGGGACTTCATCCCAAAGAAGAAGAGTGAGAGGAAGTAGGAGCCACTTAAGGAGGAAGGCTGTCGGTCTGCTGCCCTCCCCATACACCCCCTTAGCTCCTCAGGAAGGGGCCACAGCTGTTGTGCCCTGAGTACTGCTTGTGTGGAAGGCTGACTGGGGGCTGCCTGGGTGTCAGAACTGCTGTGAGCTCATCACCGCCGCACACAGAGAGCTGAGCCAAACACATGACACATGCATTTAATAGGCACATTCCAGGAGGAGACAGAGGAGCATTGACTCCAACTGGCAATTTATAAGCAGCCAGAGAAGGACAAGACAGCCTGGCGTTGGGGTGGCCAACACGGACTCCTTGTCCCTGCATCTGGAGGAAAGGGACAGGTGTGCTGAAGGGGCATTTGCAGAGCCATTGACTGAACTTCAGAAGAGAGTGGTCTTAGGGTTTGTGTGTCTAGCACAGAGACATGCCAGGAGCAGCCTGGAGACTGTCAGGGTGTTGCCATAGGCCAGGGAATGGGTTTAGCCAGGATGCCAGAATCCCTGGCAGTGGGGTGGGGGGGGTCCTGTGAAGAGGATATGGGGGAAGGGCCCAGGCATCCAGTTACAAGTGCAAGGAGGCTTCAGGGCAGCGGCAAAGGGAGGCTGCAGGCCGGCCACCTCAGTGCTTGTAACTCTTCCTGCTGGACGACGTGGTGGAAACAAACTTGATGCTGGAGCCACTGCCCGCCGGGCCCCGGCTGCTACTGGTGGTGAAGCCAGAGCCTCCCAGACCTGTACCCAGGCTGTGCCCACCGCTGGTGGTGAAGGAGTAGCCACTGCTCCCGCCAAGACCCAGGCTTCCACCTCCAATGTTGCTGCCACCACCGTAGCCGCTGGAAACGGTCGATGTGACCACGGCTGAGGGGAAGAGGAGACAGGATCAGAACTGCAGGCAGGACAGACGGCCCCTGACGTCAGCGCCGAGTGTCTGCAGTGGAGACGGGTGTTCTCACAGACAGACGTTGGCGTCCCCATCTCCTGCCTGCTCTGTGAGATGCTGCGGCCTTAGATCTCCACCTCTGCTGGTCTGGGCTGGCTGCTTTCTCCAGGCTTTCCGCTTCTCCTCCACCACCCAGCGCGCCTCTTCCAGAACCTACTGGAGACTTCTCCAGGAAGGCACGTTCCTCTCACCCCTGCTCTACCACCATGGTTGCTGCCTGAACCTGTCTCCCCCTTTGGGTTTGGTTCTGGCCTCTCCTTCCTTCTGGAAGCTCACAGGCATGTCCTTCCCCTGGTGTCCCCTGGCACAGCACTCCAAACACAGATGGCGGCTGTCCTGAAAAGCCTGGGGCTTTCCTGCAGCAGCAGCACTCCGTAGAGCTGAGGCAAGCAGCGGGCTCTCCACAAGGCACTCAGAGGAGGCAGGGCTGCCTGACTGGCCATGGTTTGGTGTCTAAGGGTTCTCTCCAAGGGGGCCAGGCAAACCCGGGAGCTTTTGTATGTCCTGTCCATGTCAAATGCTCATCTCTGAACTCTTGAAACTAGATTCGTAACCCCGTGGAATTCTGGGAGGTGGGAGATATGGCTGTAAGACAGTTTCAGGAAACACACACACACACACACACACACACACTCCCCTGTGTGGTGGTTCGCACTCTCACTCCAAAGGGAAGAACTGGGAACCTAAAGACTCATTTAACTTGGGAACTAGTGGCGGG